TCCTTTTTCTACCTGATGCGGAGCATCCTACAGTCATCTCCATGGACCCACCTTCATCTTCCCAAGTGCCAAGTGGACCGATGAGACGAGAACATGCAAGATCTCTCAAGACCAAGGTGACATATCTCTTTAACGAGCATCTGTGTGACCCACGTGAGATATGGCTACTACCTCAATCTGAAATTCCATGTGTGCTTAGGTATCAAGAAGACCCTCTCGGAGATGCTCGAGTTCACGGACAAGCCCCCAAGCGCACGAACAAAGAGGCTCAATAAGAAAGGCAGTTGAAAGCCTACAAGACCCGGACATCCGGCCCCTGGCCTGAACATCTGGCCCCTGGTGACTCCACCGACAGCAGCAGGACAACAGCTACCAGGCTACAGGACCCGGACATCCGGCCCGACATAGAGCACCTGAAGTCTGGCCTCCCCAACCCAGACATCCGGCCCAGGCCCCGGACATCTGGCTCATCCTAAAGGCCCGGACATCTGCCCCCAGCCCGGACATCCGCCCCCAGCCCGGACATCCGCCCCCAGCCTGGACATCCGGCCCCTGTCTATGCACAGTAAACTGGCCGAAGGCCCGTCTACCCCTCCAACTCGTCCCAACTTGTACTAGCACTCTATATAGACTACCCCTCCTCCATCTAGGGTTAGCAAAGGTTAGAGCTCATTTGAGATAGAGCTTTGCTCATCCACTTATCCCTACTCCCATGGAGACCAAGACCTCCATGTGAGAAGATGCCCAAAGTGGATTCAAGACCCCTTCATGGGAAGATCCTTCTAGGATTCAAGACCTCACTCCTCCAAGGACTGGGATGAACTAGCTACCCTTTGTACTCTCTTGTGTTGACTTTGGATCTTGCACCTCTTATGTGTATGTGGATTTAGCACATGTGTGATTTGGATCTTGTTGATTGAGTGTTTTCCCTCTCGTGTTCTTCGCAGGATTTCCCCTCCAATCGTGGAAGATCGGCCAAATAGGGTTCCACCCTACATCACTACCCTTCCACCACGTCCTTCTTAGCCCTTACGCCTTGAACGACCTCCAGCTCTAAAGAGGAAGACACCATCATCTGATAAGCTATATCTGTAAGGGTCTCATTACTGCCTCTGCTTTCTCCTGATGCATTCATGTATGTGAACACTAACGACCTCATGAGCTCTAGCAAGCCTCCACGGACAATTAGCACAAGGAGCCCATCATCAACGTCGACGAGGAGGGGTTGTGACATCAGGATTAGTGCTTGCACTGGCAGGGCTTATGCTCCCTCGCCTTCTGTAGATGTGGAGACTAATGCACCAACAAGCATGTTGAAAAATCTTAAAATAAGAAAGGTAGTGGAATATCATTTTAAGGCATTTATCAGACTTTGTTGCAATAGTTTGTTCACTGGAATATCATTTTGTGATGTGCAAGACAAGGCAACACACATCGTAACACTTCGTTTTTAGCACAACATTGAATTTTCCAGGATCGTTGCATGTTGCGTGGTGGTTTCTTTTAATTGCTTCAGTAAAGTATCTTTGATGTTGCACTCAGTTGTTGTATAATATTTATTCACAAAGCTTATTTTAATTAATAGCAGTATGCATGTCTTACACACGAGCCATTGTTTGTTCACTTTGTTGTGGTATTACTTTGGGGATTTTGCATCCTTGTTGTGGCGAGGGAGGTGATATGGGAGCAATTGGTGATATGGGGTAGGGGAAGATCTTATATTAGGTTCAAGCAGACGGCGAGAGTACATCTAACCTAAGAAGTGCAAATTAGCCATTTGGGAGTGAGATGGGATCGACAATGTAGAATTAGCGTATATGTAGGAGATAAATTTGTGGCCAAAGTTCTTCAGTTTTCAGACATACCTTGCTATCAATGGCTAGCCTCACAATATTGTAGAAATAACCTATCCAATGGCAACAGCTCGCGTGACACAGCTTTCTGGAGAGGTCTCAAAACTTACATTCCGCTGGTCTTGTCTTCCTCTCGCTGCTCGCTTGGCTCCGGGGCTCTCGTTTCCTTTTGGCAAGATCAGTGGCTCGAGGTTGGAAGGCTGATGTTTGTACTGCCAGTTTTATACTCTTTTGCCAAGGATAAGCAATGTTCAATCCAGTCGCAAATAACTCAGGATGGTCGGGATATACAGCTGCACCCAAATCTCTCGCACACAGCGACACAAGAGCTGCAGGTCCTGCTTGACCTCATCGCAGATGTCACTCCGATCGCCGCCAATGTTGATCACCGGGTCTCTTCTCTCTTTGGGAAGGAGCTTGCTACAGGTTATTTCTACAAGATACTCACCTTCCGGGGAATGCGGTGTGCTTTTGAGCACTGGATTTGGGATAAGATCATTCCTAACAAGCACAAGGTTTTTCTTTGGCTGGCTTTTTATGGGCGCTTAAACACAAGGGACAACATGTTCAAAAAAGGCTGGTCTGCGCTTGTCTCCAATGATGATTGTGATATCTGCCCTACTGTGGAGTCCATTGATCATATCGTACTACGGTGTCGGTCTGCCAAACATCTCTGGGGCAAGCTGCAGTTGAACTCGTTGGCTTGTGCTTCACCTGATCTTCTCTCTTTCTTCGAGCGTGTTTCCCAGCAGCCTTTTCTCAAGAGGAAATGGAATGTCGCCCTTGTAGCATGCGTCGTCACTCTATGGCATGCTAGGAATGATCGCGTGTTTAACGATGCTTCTTGGTCTGAACGAAACACAAGGTTTTATGCTGCGGATTTGCTTCGCCTTTGGCTGCACAGAGCTAAGCGGCAGCAGGACAAGGACGAGTTGAAGACTTGGGCGCTTTGTTTGTCCAACTAATTATGTTGTAGTTTCCTGATGTTCTCCTTCCCTCTCCTCTCTGTCTCTTCACACCTTGGTGCGTTTCTCTTGGTTCATGTATGGACTTCGGACTGCTTTGAAATATATAAGATAGAGCGATCTCTACCTTTTCTTTCAAAAAAAATGTAGGAGATAAGTGAATCAACGAACGGATGTTGTTTGAACAGACAGTTAGGCGGCCATCCGATCCTACCAACCTGACGCGTGACCACCTATAGAAGCATTCACATTTAATAAAGATGTAGCTTATGTATTAATATGATAATTTTAAATAGTGCACCATCTCGGATTGTGAAGTTCTGTAGGGCGGGCTACATGGAGTCCATTATTTTTTTTAAAAAGAAAATGATATTTTCAAGTCTAAAAAAATAAAAAATCCTGTGAAAACATATACATATTTGCGTCAGAACTATAAATTTTCATAAAAAATATATTATGACTTGCAAGCTACACATAAAAAAATCCCTGCCCAACAAATTGTCCCATTTAAAGCATGTATTTGTCTTTTTTGTCTACGCCACGTATGAAAGTACATTGTTATAAAAAATCCTCAAACATGTTATATATGTATTTCTGTATGTACATTTTTTTCCAGTTTTTTATTTTGCCCTGTGGAAACCCGTATTTTTAAAACGGCCTCCATGTAGCCCTCACACTAAGCGCATCGTGTACAACTTAGCGTCTAGACATGCCATACTGTAGAATAACTGTACGGCAGAATGTTCCTACAGAGTTGAAAATCTTAGCCAAAAGAGAATCGAGATTAACTCATTTTCAAGAAAAGAAAAAAGAAGTGTTGCAATTTGATCAACAGTCAAAATATAAGTGTATAATTATGTGTGAGATGCAGCATCAAGGGGTAGAAGTTTCTATTGATAGAAATAACTCACTAGCAAATGATGATTTCTAGCTAAGCCAAGCTTCTGGGAATACTACAGCTTGTTTATCACTGTAAGTTGTGCATTACAGTACAGTTAGATATACACAAATAGTTAGTTTTTTTCACTCATTTCCTTATTAAAAAAAACTTGCTAAACAAGGACATGCATGGATGATGAATCTGTAACAAGAAGAGAGCCCATGAAATCTGTTTGATTCCGACAGTCGTCTACACAAGCTATCTCTGTCCTTGCCTGTCATGACAAAATTGGAGGATGAAACGCAACATAATTTAGGCACAGCTTGCAAACAATGAGCCTTGTCTATCTACGCGACTGAAACAAAGGAAGAGAGAGAGAGAGAGAGAGAGAGAGAGAGTGGTTTGAATTTTAATATACCGCAGTAGATGCTCAACATTGTAGAGTCGTAGAACCTGAGCATGAAACTGGTTTCTCAGTCTCTAGTCTGCAATGATTCAGCTCTCTGTAGTGCAACAGCCCCCACTGAATTAACTCATTAAGTAGCATCGGTTAGTTTTGTGGCAGCTTGCACAAATAATGTAGTTCTCCTACAATTTGCACACATTGTTCTTCCTCATTGTTTCTATACTTCCTGCTATGGTTGATCCAGCAGTCCCCACAAATCCGAGTGATGCACAGCTGCAAACAGATTCTTCGATGTATAATAAAATTTCCGGTAGTTGAACTGGATCACAATCCTTGTTCGTGTTGCCTCTGATCTTTGGAAGGAATCCAGACCTTATGCCATGTTCAGCAGCCATAAGCTTCTCGGCAGTCTGCAGAACATCATCTTCCTTCAGGATGTACAGTTGATATTTCCCATCTTTTGCAATATCTGCGAGATAGGTTTTTGTCCAGTTTGCTCTGGGAAGATCAGTCATGAGGAAAATGTGAACAGAACCACTGTTCTTGTTTGTCTTCATTTCCACCTCAAGAGATTTCAGTTTCTCTTTAAGGGCAGAAAAGGTAGATTTCCAGTGATTCTTAAATTGGCCATCTAACAATCTTAGTTGTGCGCAAAGAAAAGGCTCCTTAATCTTGCTCTTAGCAAGCTCCGTCCCTGCAGCCATGATCTCTGGGGCAAAAGGAAGGAACTCAATTTTCTCAAGTAGATTCTGTAATCTATGATCCTTTGGTGATTCATGGATATCAAAATAAGACTCTGATCCCTTGTATGGTGCTGAAAAAAGTGTCCCGAAGGCCAACAAGGTAGCATCCTCAGCTTTATTACCAGGCCCTAAACTCTTGTATATATCTTTACGCCTCCTAACATATGATATCTTCTTCTTCCTTTTTAATTCTTCATCTGGTTGAAACGAATCCAGTGCTCCATCATTATTCTCCTGATATGTCCAGACTGTTGTTCTACAATCATCCTGAACAGGATACACACAACCACCACTTTCACTGCCTTCTAAACCAGACAGTAAAGATCGGCATCTATCGTAGTCACTTGGCAATGATCCACCGCCAGAAACAGAACAGCACAACCCAGAAAAGCAAGTTTTCTGCATATCTACACCGCACCATAATGAAACAAACACCCTGAAATCAATTGTCTTAACCAAAGGCTTCAGTGGGGACAGATCAACTATGTCTCCCATCGAAACATACCTGAAACGTAAAAGGTGAACATGGAAACCTATTATGAACACTGCAAACTTGAAAAATTATATCACTATTGTGCTAATCAGTAAAGTGAGTACTCTGCCAGTGTACGTGTGTAACAACCACATTACATCTCTATATTCACATTCCTCTTGGCACCAATCTCACCGCACTGGAGTCTCGATCAATTACGAAAAAGAATCAGTGTGATTCTAAATCATGAAAATTACCTAGCATTCTTACATTTTGGTGTTTGCATTGTTAACATTGTAATGAAGCTCTAATATCTCGCAACATGATTCATTGTACTAAAGAACATCGTGATCTTCCAAACAATCAGTAAACCGAGCAGAAGGTGTGGTGTGGGCTTTACCTCTGCTCCCGGAGGAGCTGCATGGCGTGGTCCCAGACGGCGGCTCGGAGATCGGAGGGTTCGGCGACCCTGAACTTGGGGCAGCTCCCGAGGGCGACGGCGTGGTGGTCGAGCACGGGGGGCACGACGAGGGTGCGGTTGAGCAGCGCGGCCGCTACCGCAGCGTTCCGCAGCTCGCCCACCTGGTTGCTGAACCCGCTGTGCGGGGCGTACCACAGGAACCTCTCCCCCTCCAGCTCCGCCGAGCGCCCACACCGCAGGGTGCCGCCGCCGCCACTGCCGGGGGCGGAGGCGGAGAAGGGGAGGAGGGAGCGGAGCAGGGAGGAGTAGGCGGAGGAGAGCAGGAGGGATGCCGGGAGGAGGAGGAAAAAGATGGCCACGAGTAGCGGCACATGCGACCGTGCGCTCCGCCTGCGCCACCGACCGCGGTTCGCCGGCAGGTCCATCTCGCCGGCGGCCACCGGCAGATTGGATCTTACGGTTGCATCCGGTACAAAGTGAGTAACCGAGCTACCTCCTGGCCCATCTAATTAGTTGGGCTCAAGTGGGCCTGCTCGTATCATTTCCACCCGCAACAAAATCAGAATCCACAGGGCCACCGATGAGTGGGACCCCAGAGGTAGTCAAAGGTGTCAGTCAACCTCGCCGGCGACGTGCGGCCGTTTTTCCGCCGGAGTGGGCGCACGTCAGCAATCCATCCGCCGATAAAATTATATATCTCTTTCTCTCCCTCCCTCTCTCCCGCGCCACGACACTCTGCCCTTGGACTAGGAGTAGGAGAGCAAGGGCAGGGAGTGATGGCGATAGGGGCGTCCGTGGAGGCGCCGGCCGCCGGCTCCGGCGGGTACAGCGGCCGGGTGACGCCGTTCGTGGTGCTGACCTGCATCGTCGCCGGCAGCGGCGGCATCCTCTTCGGCTACGACCTCGGCATCTCCGGTACGCCCATCTTCTTCCTTCTTTCTAGACTAGAGTACTGTAGATTGTTAACCCTCTTGGGCTCAACGGAAAGGAATATGAGAGCTGAAAGTTAGAAGCTGGACTTGGAAGGGATTAAAATGGCATTCATGGCTTACTTGTGGTGCATTAATGGCTTCAGTGCCTCGTGGCGGTGGAGATTTTCTCTTCCATTATTGGGACACAACTGATGAGTTCAGGGTGCTTTCCTCTGCTCCATTTTTCTTCAGATCAAAATGATCTAGGACTAGTCCTTTTAGAGGGATTATAGAAAAAGAAAAGATGATGCGTTCCATCATTGGGCAGGTGAACATTACGCGATGAACTTAGTTGTGCATATGCATTCTTCCATTCCCACTCCCACCCCAAATTCACTGAAACTGAATGCACGCGGTTCTGAAATCTTCTAGGTGGTGTCACCTCCATGGACTCATTTCTGAAGACGTTCTTCCCGGAGGTGTACAGCCACAAGCAGGACAGCAACGTCAGCAACTACTGCCAGTTCGACAGCGAGCTCCTCACCGTCTTCACCTCCTCCCTCTACATCGCCGGCCTCATCGCGACGCTGTTCGCGTCGTGTGTCACGAGGAGGTTTGGCCGCCGCGCGTCCATGCTGATCGGCGGAACCGTCTTCATCGCCGGCTCAGCGTTTGGGGGAGCAGCCGTGAACGTGCCCATGTTGCTCCTCAACCGGATCCTGCTTGGAATAGGCCTGGGGTTCACTAACCAGGTAACTCTCTCTGCAGTAATTCAAGCCAATGATCTTTAAGTCAGCGTGTACATGTGGTTCAGGAGATTAAAAAAATCTGTAGCGCAGCGAAGTTTCGTCAGACATGTATAAATTTCTTTTGGATAATATAGAAAGATCATCCTTCCGGACCCGGCATCAGTCCACAAATCTTGTGCGGCTGTATGTAGCTGGAGAAGCAATGCGCAAGCTTTGTGTACAGACATAAGATTCCTGTAGATGTAATTTGTCCCAACCTCCAAGTTGATGACAATGGATAGCTACATGTTTACAATGACAATTTACATGTCTCCCTCCCAAATCCCAAAAAATCATTGCATTGACTACCCGATAAGGTGTGTTATCTTGTAGCAAGTGCATGTGAAGTTTCTGAATAATATTTTTCTTTCTCCAAAAGGACATTGTGAAGTCCACTAAATACCTTACTGTGGTTACTGTTATGTTTATTTTTGAGTCAATTACACCAGTGGTGCTAAAACTTGACGCGAAAAATCACTTTAGTACCAAAACTTATGGCATACAATGAACTAGTGCTAAAACTTGGCTTCGGCGTGCATATGTGCAAATCGTATTTGTTACTGACATGGTGCTGATTAGGCATGCCGCATGACATGAGGCCCGCTGTCAGACACTAAATGTAGAGGTAGGATGTGCGGCCTGTTATTTTGTGGCATTTGCATATGGACATGGTACTGATTAGGCGCGCCATATGGCATGAGGCCCGCTGTCAGACACTAAAGGCCCGCTGTCATACACTAAATGTAGAGATAGGGCGTGCAGCCTGTTATTTTGTGGAAAACACCTCAGGATTATTTTTTCTCATGAAAAGGCCACTGACACATTTCGGTCCATCTATCAGCTGGAAAATTGTGGCCGATAGGTTTCAAACCCGCAATCTGTAGCGTGGAGACCTGTCACCTGTGTGCTTAACCAATGCAGCCAGAATCGTCGTTTGTTCTTAGTGGATACGCACATAATATACTCTTTAGATCTTAAGTGGGCCGGGCACCCTACGACCCATTTTGAACTATTATTTTTTACAAAAATAATAAATTACATGTAAATTATAACTGTGTGCTGCAAATAAAATAAATTGCAGAATGAATATGAACAATTTTATATTAAACATAACTATATTATTCAAAGCATGAACATTTTAAATACATATTACCACCTATTTAAATATATAGAAAGTTTTATTTGACATTTTTATTGAATATGAAAATTATTACGTGCATAATTTTATAATTTATAATTTAATCATATTGATATTTTTCGAAATAATACGTGAATAATTTATAATGTAATTATTATGTATATATTAGCTATAACACAAGATTATAATTTACTTATATTTTCTAAATTTCTAAAAAAAATAACGCTGTTGGGTGGGTGGTGGCCACGTGCACCTGATGACTACATATCGCCGGTTCGAATCCTAGCCAACTATTTGTACATTTTATGAATATACGTTTCTTAAAGCATGAACACTTTTATAGACTACATGAGTAATTTTTTTGAAACTGTGAACATTTTTAAACTTATATAAGAATTTATTAAAATATTTAGAAAATTTCTTAAAGCATAAACACTTTTATATACTACATAAATATTTTGTTAAAACTGTGAACATTTTAAACTTATGTAAGCACTTATTAGAATATATAGAAAAATAAAAAATTCTGAAAGCATGACTCACGATTATAATTTACATATAATTTTTAAAAAAGTATATAAATAACACTGCAAAATGATGTAGGGTCTCCAGCTAGCTCAAGGCCTCATGGATATATAGTGTACTTTTGCATTTATAACAAAAAACACCTCTTGGTGCATTGATTAGGCACACGCCCTTCCACGCTGCACTTTGGGATCAAATCCCATCGTCCGCAATTTTTTGCACATAATTTGCTTGCTGATAGATGGACCAATATGTGCCAGAGGCCTTTTCATGAGAAAAATTAATCCGAGTGGTTTTCCACAAAATAACAAGCCACACACCCAATCTGTACCATCTAGTGGCTGACAGCGGGCCCCGTGCCATGTGGCACGCCGTGTCCGTATACAAATGCGACTTGCACCGTATATGCATGCCAAAGCCAAGTTGTAGCACCAATGCAACATATGCCACAAGTTCTAGCACTGAAGTGATTTTTCACGTCAAGTTTTAGCACCAGTGGTGTAATTGACTCTTTATTTTTTCAGTCGATCCCATTGTACCTGTCAGAAATGGCGCCACCGCAGTACCGCGGTGCAATCAACAATGGGTTCGAGCTCAGCATCAGCATCAGCATTCTCATTGCAAACATCCTCAACTACTGCGTGGTGAAACTCACAGCAGGGTGGGGCTGGAGGATATCCCTATCCATGGCCGCAGTCCCTGCTGCATTCCTGACCATCGGTGCAATCTTCCTCCCCGAGACGCCAAGCTTCATAATCCAGCGGGACAGCGACACCGACAAGGCGAGAGCCCTGCTCCAGAAGCTGCGTGGAACCACCTCAGTACAGAATGAGCTGGATGACTTGGTCTCTGCTAGCAACCTCTCCAGGGCAGCCAGATATCCATTCAGAGACATATTCAAGAGGAAGTACAGGCCACAGCTCGCCATGGTGTTCCTGATCCCTTTCTTCAGCCAGCTCACCGGGATCAATGTGATGAACTTCTATGCCCCGGTGATGTTCCGGACAATTGGCCTCAAGGAGAGTGCCTCCCTCCTGTCTTCGGTGGTCACGCGTCTCTGCGCAACATTTGCCAACATCGTAGCGATGATGGTGGTCGACAGGTTTGGGCGCAGGAAGCTCTTCCTTGTAGGAGGGATCCAGATGATCTTGTCTCAGCTCGCTGTCGGCGCCATCCTAGCTGCAAAGTTCAAGGACAATGGGTTGATGGATAAGGACTATGCTTTCCTTGTGTTGATCACCATGTGTGTGTTTGTGGCAGGCTTTGCATGGTCATGGGGGCCTCTCACATTCCTCGTCCCGACTGAGATCTGCCCACTGGAGATCAGGTCAGCAGGGCAGAGCATTGTGGTCGCCGTGGTCTTCCTGATGACGTTTGTGATCGGCCAGACATTTCTGGCGGTCCTCTGCCGCATCAAGTCGGGAACGTTCTTCGTCTTTGCCGCGTGGATTTGCGTGATGACGCTAGTGGTCTATCTGTTCCTGCCAGAGACCAAGAAGCTTCCGATGGAGCAGATGGAACAGGTCTGGAGGAGGCATTGGTTCTGGAAGAAGATTGTTAGGGAGGAAGATGATAAGGAAGAGGAGGAAAAGGAGAGGCAAGAAAGGAAAATCTACTCGCCGAGCTCCTAGTGACTTCCGAACTTGAATGTATTTCCATCAAACCTGCAAGGAAAAACATAGTACAGGACTTTAAACTAGCAGATAAGTTTGTAAGTATGATTGCATCTAATTGTGTCACCTGACAGACCTGTGGTTGCTGTTGCCAGTTCCTACATATGGCCATTTCAAACGGTGAGATTACTGATATGAAGTCATAGTTTTTAAGGCGGTAAGGCGACCTAAGGCGCTGGGGGGGCGCCTTATCGCCTAGGCGACGCCTAAGCGCCTAAGGCGGACGCCTAAGCGCCTAAGGCGGGCATATTTGTAAGGCGCTGGGGGGGCGCCTTATCGCCTAAGCGTCGCCTAAGCGTCCAAGGTGGGACGCCTTAAAAACAATGGATGAAGTAACTGGAATTTCAGAGAAAAAATATATAAGTGAACCGTCTCTCAGAGGGACTGGATTGTCTGATTATGCATCATGACTTTTGCTAAAGATGTAAAAGTGACAGGTCCTTGGATGACCAAACAGTGCACTCGTGCACAACCCAACAGCTTGGAAATATGTCGATATATCTGAAAGGGACTGGCCACTAGCCACTACTGTCTGTCACCAACCACACTTGCAACACTTGGTGCATAATGGAGGTGAGTGCAAATGCAGAATCAGGATTGAAAGGTACAGTCCCAGGGAATATCCCAGATATAGAATCTGTCCCGAAGGAGAATCCAATAATCCGTTTGTTCTTGCCACAAATACATTAAACCATATAGACACATGCCAACCATATAAGAATAAAATCATGCAGCAGTCATTGGTAAAATATTTAGCATGGCTTCTTTCAACCATAAGATCTTGAGTGAGTGACTGGATAGCCAGCTCCAAATTTCCAGTATCGGGACAAAATCTGAAGACACTGATTCATCATTCAGTAATGAAGATTGTGTAGAACAGAATGAGCAGAGCTCACTTCAAAGGTCCAATAACTGACTGATATTTCTTTTTCTTATATAAGAGTTTACAGTACAACCCTGGAGATCAGCACTAACATTAATGATTCTGTCAACATGCAGTGGGCATATATCATGTGCCATACAAACAACAGATGCATCCATACATAACATAACTTACAACACAGGGTACATTGGACAGACCACAGACCACAGTTAATCTTAAAAAGAAAAGAAAAGGAAAAGAGGCAAAGCTTATTTTTGCCAGGGCTCATCTAAGTGCAGTTTGTGTGCTGAGGGGCTCACGCCTGAGCCCTCGTTGGGAGATTCGCCTGGAAAGCCGATTGTCTATTTTGACCTCCTACCATTTTTAAGGAAAGAGAGGTAGATACTGTATCTTGCTTGGGATCCCCTATGCTTAGCTTAGACATGCCCACCAGTTCATCAACATTGATTGGACTCTTTGAATGAACTGGAACAGGCTTCACAATCTCATGTGTCCCTTGTCCAAGATCATCTCCATCATTCTGATTTTGCCAGAAAGGAACTGAGAATTGCAAGAATGGTGAGAAATATGCTGGAACTAGCACCGGATAGCTCGACTGCAAATTCTCAGGCATGATAGCAGAAGCTGAAGAACTCTCTGCAATGACAGAAGTATCTGACTCCATAGATTCTACCTCCTCCTCCTCCATGGGTGGAGGTAATGGTGGGTGATTCAATATCTGGGCCTCAGGTTCTTGATTACCAGGAAGGGGTGGCAGGTCCGACTGTAAAATACACAAGATACCGTTCAGTTCTGACTTATATACAAAGTGCAAACTAATATCTTCCTAATGAAATGCGAGATGAGAACTGCATGCCTGTCCATGCAACACTACACGATCTGTTCAAAAAGATAGATTTCTAGCATGAGGAACTAAGGTAGTGATATTGTAACTACATAAAGAGAATCAGGTCAAGTTATGCCACACAGGTGTAATAATCAATCATAAGATCTAGCAACCTACCTCATCAGGCACCAAGTCAAAGAGGCTAGACCTTCTCTTCCTTCTGCTCATATTGGCTTGGCGTATAAAATATTTCTGAGCATGGCTTGCTACTTGAGTAGGTGTTCTTGAGACCACAAAATTACGAGAGATCCCTCGCCAATCACCCTTTCCAAGCTTCTGCAATCCAAGCAAAAACCTCCGATGTTCTTCTTCAGTCCAAGGAACCCCTGCCAAAAAGCCATCTTAATCAGGAACATGGCACATAAAACGTTGCACACAGCCATACAGGAAGGGCTTAACATCTCAAGCTATACAGAAACTGATAAACAGACGACTTACAAACAGAAGCACACGAAGAAACAGTACACTATTATTGTGTTAAATGGAACATTTTAAGGAGTGTATTATCACCACATTAAAGTTACACAAAAAAACACCTCTGGGGGAACATGAAACTAGAAGAAGCTAGTGAACAGAACTGGTAAATTCATCACCACATCAGTAGAGTACTGACAAACGTAAAATGTCCTTAAATGAAACAATGAAGCCAGACAAAACCGGGGTGCAACAAATGTCAAGTTTTTCCTATCCCTGGACAAGCTATATAGCACGTCAAGAAGACAACACTACAAAACTACAATCCAATTTTCTAGCTCGGATAGATAACAACAAACAGGCAAAGGGCAACTAAATGTTCATTATGTCGTTACCCTATATTGGTTATAATCCCAAATTGGAGAGCGCCATAAATAAAAATATGTTTTGCTTTGAAGAATTTCCAGCTGTAACTTGACTTGAAAATTAAAACCCCAACCTTTATAACAGAGATTAAATATACAAAGACACTAATCACTGGTCATCACCAACTCAGGGATTGTGAGAAGAAACTAGCAGTAATAAAAATCAATGAAGGCGGTCAAGCTTTGGCATGTGTACACCAAATATTCACTGGTATTAACTAAATTAATCTTAATTAACATCTTTCTTGCAGAATGTAGCGGTGCAGGTAATTAAAAATGCTGTATATAAATATCGATTGCATCATAATGCAGTACCACATTTATGCCAAAGGTGAGACTTTACGTTACGTGTTAGTTCGTCAGCTCAGCTCTTACGTGGCTCTATACACGCTTCCGGAAGCACAGAGCAAAGCCAAATTTATGATGAATCATCCAAGGAAAAGAAAGCGCTAGGCGTTAATTGTGCGGTTTGCCACGGCCTCGCGCTTATCTCACCTAGGTGCGCTTAAACGCACACCTAGCATGATTAAGCGCTAGGCGTTATGTTGTCGCCTAGCGCCTTCGCGCGCTTTTTTCCATTGGAATCACCTATGATCGCCGCTCTTGATAATCCGTAGTCCCTGCTAAACGAATCCATACCTGAGCTTCTAAAAACATCTGTCATAAGTCATGATCCAATCAAACGACATCCACAGTGTATACATCATCCTTGCACCGATTTAATGCTGGGGGTTGATTATTAGCTCAAGAATCAAGTTATCCAAGTCTACAGTGCTGGAAAATACCATTGCAGCTTCTCCCAACTGGATTTTTGAAAGCTAACAGTACCATCTCAATCAAAAATTGGACAGGACAGCACACGCAAAAATAATTATACACGGGCATGAAAGAAACAATTGGAGCTGAGAGGATCTAATCTACTAAGTGAGGTTTTGCGTCGGCTGAGGAACTGAGCCACAGAGTAGACGTCTTTAGAGGAGGGAGGGAGAGAGAGATTAGCAGGCCACCTTTCTTGCGCTCGCGGTTGGCGGATGATGATCCCTGCACGAAGTCGTCGGAGGCGTAGCCCTCTGCGGCGGCGTCGTGGCCGACGTCAGCGGGGGATGCGCCGCCGCCGCCGCTGGTGGATCCCCCGAGCAGGGAGAGGTTCCCCATGCTGGCGCTCTTGCGGATGGATCCATCGGTGAGGCGCACCCCGAAGATCTTGACCCCGCGGTTGGGGCACGTCCGCGAGTTATGGCCGTTGTGGCTGCAGTGCGAGCACCGCCTCGTCATCCCCGGGGCCGCCAGCGCACCCGCCGGTGTAGGAACCAGGCGGCCGCGCGCGCCGGAAGGGGAGAGGAGAGGTGGGCTGGGAGGAGAAGCGAAGTGTGGTGGTGATGAGAGCAGAGGAGACGGGAGGGGAGAGGAGAGGAGGGGAGGGGATTGACTGTGGAGTGGTGATTGGTTGCGGTGGTCGGGGCCGGGGAAGGGGAGGGAGGGAGCTCCGCGCGTGTGGCCGTCCACGTGGCGGATATTCCCGCAAGGATATTACGTGGGTGGGTGGGCAAGAGCGGCGAGCGAGAGGCTTGTGGGTCACACCTTTTTCTTTCTTTGGACACGGTTGCTTGCGGTCGCCTCCTTTCGTCTTCGCCGTTGGATCGTCGGATCTCCTATTCCTGTTCCTCGAAAACGCGAGCAGCTAGCTAATTAATGCTTCTCCTCCGGGTTTACAGCCAGGCGCTTTACTGCTTCTCCAACGCGAACCCTCAAACTGTAGGTATCCGAACGCAGCTGTCTGGACTCCGCAAACCATTCAATGTTGACCTCATCGATCCGTTGAGTAGTCCGGATCATAATTTTTCGCAAAGTCGAAACAAACTGGTGACTTTACCGGAATCTGGACACGAACCGTGTAGCACTCTGACATGCCCCGACTCATCAGAAACTAAGGCGGAACCCGCGCTTTTGTAGTTGTCTGCACTGTTTTTGCGGTAAAATTACTCACTCACTTCTTTCATCTCGCCACTCTCCACCAAATTCTCGCCCTTTCCCCACTCTCTTCTTCCCTCACGCCGTTGACCCATGAACCCAGAGGAGACCACGCCGGAGACGGAGATGGTGGAGGATCCGAGCATCACGCTCGCCCGGAAGATCAACTCCGCGACCCGGCAAAATCGTCGTGTCAAAGCCAAGGCCGCAAAGGAGGAAATACTCAAGAAGCAGAAAGTTGGTGGAGAGTGTGCTGGTGGCAGACGAGGCGGTGGGCGTGCAGGTCGCGAACAAGGTGGAGGTCGGGGCGGCCCAGGCCGCGGGACCTCACCGACCATGCACACGCCGCCATGGCCAAAACATTACAAGGCCGTGTACGGTAGGCAGTCCCCCGGCATCCCCTGTCATGATGTTCATCGTCGAGGCCAACGCGACACCGCTGCTTTTCTCGGAGTTTTGATCTCCATCGATTATCCCGACATGGACGACGGACGTGGAGCATATGGGTGCCGGCAAGCTGTTCGCTGGTATGCCTAAAGCGGGATAGCTGGCGTACGACATCACAGACAGGGAGACGTGCGAGATCATCCATGACGGAGGCGGAGAAGGAGGTGCCTATGAGGATGGGTAGGTGGATGACTCAGAACCCACCCAGTTCGGCCCCTACAAACAACCGAGCACACAACAGTACACCTAGTTCGGCACTAAAACCCAGTTGGGCACGCATCAGGACTACAACTAGCTAGGCACGAAAACAGAGCGACATGATTGGGCCACCAGACAGCAGCATGGGGAGGAGGAGGAGGGTGAGGACAATGATCCTGATGATTTCTGTGGCGATTCAAAAAAGAGGGACACATGAGAAAGCTTCAACGTGCGGGAGGACAAGCTGTTGTGCGATGCACGGTTGGCTACTAGCCTCGACCCGATCCATGGCATGGAGCAAAAGGACATAACCGTCTAGGCCAACATTCATATTTGGCTCCATGAACACAAGCATTTCGCGCCCTACTATGACGCGGTCATCCGCAAGTGTGAATCAAACTCCCTCAACCATCGTTTGTACACCATCCAACAGGTCACGTCGAAGTATTGTGGCCACTTGAGGCAACTCATCGCACGGTGGCCTAGTGGTGTGCAAATCACTAAGCAAGTAAGTTGTTAATATGTACAACACTTGCCAGATATGCATTGCTATGTAGATTATTTGTAGTTGTACATGCATAGTTTTGTAGCCGGATATGTATGCATTGGTGTGTAGATCATTCGTGTCCAAATATGCATAGATTTATAGATCATTTGTAGCTGGGTATGCATAGTTTTGTAGATCATTTGTAGCCGGAAATGCATAGTTTGTAGATCATTTGTAGCCGGATAAGCATAGTTTGGTAGCGGGATAAGCATAGTTGACAATGCTTTATTTTGTAGTCTTCTTGTGCGTGTGGTGTGTTCAAGAAGTTGGAGAAGAAAAACTTCACCGTCGTGCATTGTTGGTTGAAGTTGAATGGACAACCCAAGTGGAACCTATACATTGCCAAGACCGTCACCCAAGGCATCGAGGAAGAAACCGGTGACCCAACAAATGAATCACCCAAGAAGGTTAGAAGAGGGTTCCGGGGAAAGAAATGGGAGGAGGAGAAAGCAAAGAGAGAAGCGGCGTCCAAGATGACGGAGAGGTTCAAAGACATCTTGAAAAAGAAGGTGGAGGCATACGACAAGCGCTCCGACATCAAGAAGGAAAAAGAGACGGAGAGGTTAGACTCATTGATGAAGGTGACCGAGAAGAAGTTCAAACTCAAAGAGAAGAGGGTCATGATCAAAGAGAAGAAGGCCATGCTCGAGGAGAAAAAGGTGAAGATCGTAGCTGCTTCAGAGGATGCGAAGATGATCAACTTGAAGGTGGCGGAATTGGATGGCGTCGCGAGAATGATCGGGCATGCCGTCTGTTTCAAGATTTTGCAGTGGAAGGATGATCTAGAGAGGGCGGAACAGGAGGAGATCGAGGCGGCGACGAAGGACGCGATTACCGAAGTGGGGGCGAAGGCGGAGGCGGCCTACATAGCGGCGATGGCAGATTGAACATTGGAGGCTTGGATGCACGGACTGCCAAACTAATGTTCTTTCGTGGTCGGGCATGTAAAAAACTAAGCATACTTGTCCCTTTTTGGTTGTGATCAGCTGAGGATGTGATCTGGCGCTAGTATGATCTAGCACTTGTTGGGAATGAACGTATTTGCATTCAAACTGCCCCCTTTACTAACAGACAAATAGTGGCTAGCTTTGGATGGCTAGCTCACGCATTCATGTCCGCAGATTGGTCCCCCCTATCCGTGGACGAATGCGGTGTCTGGTTTGCATGTCAGCATTGGAGATTCCCTAATCCTTGTCTAAAAGCATGCCACCAATAATTGTACTTTTTATGGCATGTTATTCATGATTTGTTAGTCAAACTTTTGATATAACTGAATCAAAACTTTGGATGGGACTAATAAACCCGGACAGAGGTGTACATGCTCACTAGTATTGTCTTTGTTTCCATCTTGTTCTCTCTCTCTTAGCGTGTTCTTTCTCTCATGTCAAACATAGTACCATTTGTGATACCATTTGTTTCATTGAGAAAAATAGGAAGCAAGACATCACAACCTTAAACTCTTACTTGAGTTTGTATTTCAGCATCTTGCTTTCTATATAGTCTTTGTGTGTCAATCGACCTTTGCCAACTTTCCCACACATAAAGGTAAATCTCAACCTATAAGCATGACAGACAAAAGAGGCAACGAGAATGGAGACCACAACAGCCTCACATGAGGGGAGAAATAGAGGCAGTCTCGTCGTTGTGACACCACGAGTAAGACAAAAATAAAAAGTACAATGCTAGAGCGTGACCCCTGGCCGTTTTTATATCTTACGTGGCATGTACAAGATCGCTCATTCTGATACCATGATCAAACCTAGTTAAAGGGACCCAACCAAGAAGATGGGTTAAATTTGAATAGTTTTAGTAGGTTAAACTCCCAAATCAGGTGAACTCTCGCAAGAGTTTGAGGTTGAAAAGTGGGCATTTATTCTGCAAAAACAGATTATTTCCTATCTCCATTACGATTATGATTTTAGAAGGAGAAAATCAAAATATCTAATGTGTTTAGTGTGTTGTCCTTGATTTTTCTTGGTGGTCAGGGCCATGCCTTCGCGGCACACAACATTGACAATTTTGGAGCTAGAGACATGTGATAGTAGGCTTTGGATGAGCTAAAGGTAGATGGTGTTGGATCAAAGAGAAGTCGTGTTGTGGTTTTAGAGATCGCCTGAGGGCTCCTCCTCGGGTCCATCGTACCTACCAGCCATCGGTGTTGAGTGTAGGAGGATTCAAATTTTCCCAGGTGTTTGTTGATTGATCACTTCAGGCACGTCTAGCAGAGTGCATTCCATCGCCAAGTTCCTTCCTCCTTGATGCCCGGCCTGGACGGCCGAGGTGAGTTGGCTGGTCCCTCAGCTAGGAGGTCATTGCCTTAGGTGTCAAAGTGGGTCTCTTCTTCTGCGATGACATCGTCAATGGAAAACTCATCTTTGTTGAGGTCGTCACCAGACGAGGCCACTTGCTCGAGGTTATGGACATGGGTTCCATGAAATGAAGTTGGAGTTGTCACAAGAGATACGTTTGCGCCCACGGTGGGCACAAAATATGGATGAATTATTCTCCACCTAACTTATGACGTGAAAGTAGTTTTGGAAGATTGTAGAAATAAGATGGTGCTCAAAAGGATTTCGTCAACGATGATGATTTGGTTTCATATTTTTATCAAATAAAATCATAGGGTGAACAATAAGTTAATAACAAAGAAAAATGCAAACAAAAATATTAAACCTAGAGCTATGTTCCCATTAACAAAGCCATAAAACAGCTTGATTATCCCCAAGTGCACACTACAAAAAAAATACACTTCCGTGATGATACGTGTTTGTCACAGTAGGTCGCATTTTCTGTCATGCATGTACATCCATGACGATTTTATGACAGAATCAAGATAGTCATACATGTGATGTCGTAGAAGTGTTCCATGACATTACCAAAATTATCATCACGGAAGTGTCCACTTCCATGACGATAAATCGTGCGTCATAGAAGTGCTTTCGTCAAGGGTGACCGACACGTGGCATCCACCGTAACGGAACACCGTTAAGCTATCGGGTCGGGTTTTGGATCCGATAACCCGTTAACAGCCCCGACCAATGGGGATTTTCCATGTGTAAAATCATCATTGGCTGGAGGAAACACGTGTCGGCTCATCCCTGGGATAGATGTC